CATTCTGCCGTTGCGGCTCATAATTATAATATCCCGTGCAAGGCCCGTGGGCGATGAAGAAGTTTACTGCAACGGAAAGCCGTGTCTGCCAGTGTTTTCATCAGCACGGTGTTCCGGGTACATTACGGCATGCGTCATCTCATTCCCTCCGTCAGCAACAGATGATCGCGCGTGTGACCACCCCCCCCCCCCCTCACACACACACGTCGTGGTAGATAATGTAAGTGCCGTATCTTTTCTTTACCCAGCTTTACAGAACGGTGAAATAAAGGCTTGTGTGCGAAAACACCTGCGTATTCTCAGCGCATGAAAACAACTAATACTAGGTTATGACATGCGGAGATCCCGATATTTTCTGCTAAGGAATTATTCATTACTTCGTTCTGTATTCAAAAGAAACCCGATGTGGTTTAAGACATCTTTGAATAAACTTTGTCAACTTGTTTTACCGCGCATGCTTTTTTCTGTGGACATATTTTTACATTCTGTGGTTAGGTCACTTCAATTTTTGCAAACATAATCCCTCACATAACGAAAACCAAATGAAGGCCTGTGCTGAATCGATTTCATCAAAAGTTTTTGTCTTTACATAAACTAGATCTGGTGGCATTTAACAAGAAACGCATGGTGTATAGCCTACTCCCTCTTCCAGGACCGCGCTCCAGAGACGTTGCCATGAACATCGTCACATAATATGAAGGCGCGGCATGGTGCAATGCTATGTGTAATCACCTCAATGTAAGCTTTCAGGAGCGGTCTAGCTGGGCTTATATAGCCGGGTAAAGTTACCTGATTGAGCCCATTGACTGTTCACTGACACGGACAACTGAAGACTGGGAGAAGCAACCAATACGAGCATGCGTGAGCACTCTGTCATGCTTTCCCTGAGACGGATAACGCAAAATCTGTGGGTGTAATTTGCGAGGAAACATGACGAAGGACATCAAACGGAACAAAGCATTGGAGCACGATACGCTAACTCCAGGCTGGAAGCCCATTCCAACACTGTGGCACTTCAAGATGCGGAGAGTTCCTTAGTAAATTAAAATCTTTACCGAAAAGACAGGGTGTGTAGCCGTTTTACACCAGCATCCTTGGCAAAGAGGAGACCAGTCTCATTACCCTCCTGGCACCAACTAAGCTGAGCTGGAACGCACTAGAACGTCTTCTAAGGAGGCTGAGCGGCAGTTGTTCATGCTTAACGTTCACTTAGACAGACGGGTGTCGCCCGAGAATTCCTCGAGAAATTGTGGAGTGGCTACCGGGAGGTCTTGCTGGATTGTCAATAATGTCCCTGAAGCTTGGATGCCCGCCCGTGGAGTCGAAGACGGTTGAGTTAGTGTCATTTACCAGAATGCAACACAAACCTGACAACTGCCGACCGACCAGGCCTGACGGTTTGACATCATTTTGAGAGCCGCACTAGACGGTACTGCATACTGCACCATTTTAGCTTTTAGGCCGGAATGGTCACGCTCTGGGCAACTTTTGACGACTTTTAGTGACCGGAGCACAACTGACGACAGAGGTCTAGGCGATTTCGTATAATCATATCGCTTTTCAAAACAGGGTCAAAAGATTCAATTGACTTGTTTGACTCTGTTCCTCACAAGCAGCTCCCAATCAGCAGAAAGGCCCACGAGATTAGCGCATAGCTCTGAAATTGATGAGGCATATCTAACCGACAGATAACAAAGAGCGTTGGTAAATAATGGCTTCGCGTCCACCTGGACGGCGATTCTAAGCAAAGATCCGCGATCATTAGTGTTGACTTCCTTGCTGATCGTCACATTTGAAAGCCATATGCCTGACTTTGCTGACTGTCACATCGCGTCGTTTGCGGAAGACATTAAGATTTAGACACCGGCTGGTTTTCCTGTCCACACTGAGCGACTGCAAAGACGCCCTGATGTCCTTATGGGTTGTTCCGATATGTGGCAGCTGTCCTTCAGCAATGAGAAGCAACGAGCACCGCGCTTGGGACAGACCAAAGACCGATAAGTCGACGCCGTGCGTGGCAGGCAGCTGCAACAGGCATCGGCACAACCGGCCTGAAGATGTACGTCCACATCGATCTCGAGTTCCAGAAAGGGGCAGTGGCGACGGCTGTATGGCATCCCGGGTCAGGGCGGTCGGTCGTCGGTCCTTCAACATTTCTGGCCAGGCAGCTCTGCCTGTTTCATTGGAATCCTTGGAAAACGGTGGCACAGATGGAGCCAATTCAGTGGCGAGGACCAGCGCTAGTAGGCCAATACGAAGACGAGTGACAAAGCTGGTTCGGTACGTCAGGAACAGCACGCATCCAGAGAGGAATCGTGCACTCGGTCGCCATCACTGTCACAGAAAACACCGAGGAAAGCAGCTTGCGAACAGCTCCACGCAAGTGGTCGATACGCCCCAGAGGAGGTTTTCCACTAGCCAGAACTGCCCCGACACTGTGACGCCCTGGAAGCTACGAAAGTCCCAAACGGCCACCATATTCAACAGCGATGCATTCTCCCGGGCCACGAGGGACTGAAATGCTCTTTCGTTAGCGTCCGCGGATTCGGTCACACCGACGTGGGCATGCCCTTCGTAATCCCAGGTTTCGCATCGCGTCGTACCGTATGTCGGGGATGATAGAGACGGCGGGCGGTGAGCGGGCCGTATCCTAAACTTAGGACGCCGACCTGGCCTGGAGCCTGCAAACTCATTCAGCTAAGTGCGCTGCTTTGCCGGGTATTTAAGAATGCGAAATTGACCATACAAGGAAGGCACGGTTCCTCGGGTTTAATTGGTACTCGGGGGCCGCAATGCGGTCATAAGCCGTGCAGAATCACATGCCAGCAGGTCGACTCAATTCATGCGTCCCTGGCGCCTGCCCTCGGTGTTATTCATTACATTGTTCAGCTTTACGATCAAGACCTGCGCAATTGAATCCGTTTTCTTCTTGGTTCTTTTATGTTACGTAAAAGCCCATCAAGCTTCCCGAAGAACGAGACAGTGGTTGAAAGCCAGTTGACGGAAAATGTAATGTCCATTTACTGGAAAACAAAGACAAAAGAGAAACTCAGTGGCCAAACTGCTGCACCTGTCCGCAGAGAGCGGCCTCCCACTGCACCCGTCCGCGGACAGCGGTCCCCAACGACACCTGTCCGCAGACAGCGACCCCCGGCTACAACTGTCCGTAGACAGCGGCCCCCAGCTGCAATTGTCCGTAGACAGCGGCCCCAGCTGCAATTGTCCGTAGACAGCGGTCCCCAACGACACCTGTCCGCAGACAGCGACCCCCGGCTGCATCTGTCCGCAAACAGGGGCCCCCGGCTACACCTGTCCGCGAACAGCGGCCCCCCGACTGCAACTGTCCGCAGACAGCGGCCCCCGGCTGCAACTGTCCGCAGACAGCGGCCCCCAGCTGTACCTGTCCGCGAACAGCGGTTTAAGCTGCATCTGTCCGCATACAGCGGCCCCCAGCTACACCTGTCCGCGAACAGCGGTCCCCGGCGCTGGCCGGCCTGGCTCCGACCTTGAGCCGGCGGTCCGGCGGCCGCCAGACAGCCAACAGCGCGCCCCCCGGGGGCAGCTGCGAGTCCAACCGGCACCACCTGAGCCTTCCACCGCCGTCCGAGGCGCGGCCGACCGACTCTGGGTGGAGCCCACAGCATTGCCAGAAGCGGGCATCGTCTGAAGTACATCACCGCGCCGACTCGCAACTGAGTATAGTCTTGATGGACTTGAGCTATAGCAGAATCTACCGCTGAACATCGGGCTATTTATTAGGTATATGTCGCATATTCCATTTTATACAGTTCTTATTATGTATATCATGTCAACTGAAAAACGACTGTGGGATTGAGTTGCCTGATTTCGATTTCAGTGAGTGTGAGTGTTACAACAAATGGAATCTCCTCTGCCAGGTGGACCTTGACAACTCGCTGCCTTGGTTTTGCAGTTTCTGAATTACACCGCAAGCCGCTGGTAGCTATATAACTATTAAGACATGTTAATAGTCATATAACGTTATACGTTTTATATGTCTTGGGGCTATGGGGGACCTGCGGGACACTGCTAGAACGTTGCAACGAATTGTAAGTGTCAGTTACTTAAAGTGTGCGTCATACAATGTTTACTATCTACTGTGCAAGTTAAAACAACTAGAGGTGTCGGTACTTATGGCATTACGCCCGTTTCATGGTGGACGATAGCAGGTGTGAACCACATTCACACACACACACACACACACACACACACACACACACACACACACACACACACACACACACACACACACACACACACACACACACACACACACACACACACACACACACACACACACACACACACACACACACACACACACACACACACAACCACACAAAATACTGGCCATGTAATGCCACCTATCGTCTTTGTGCTGTGCTGGGCTTCTCATACCAACTTGATCTTGCTTTTGTCTACATGGTTGAATGCAAGGGCCGGCTGCTTACATCACATACAAATTAGCGAAGCACTGAACATGAAATATGTTGAAGTGTGTCATATTGTGACCTTATGTTGAATGAAACAGAAATGTGACAGCAAACTGGCGCAAATCATTACCTGCGAGGTCTCAGCTGTGAAGCTGAGAATAAGGGAGATTGGTGTCTGGACTGACTTTTGACTTGCTGAGATGAGCCAAACCCGATTCAGAACTTTACATCAGTGGAGAGATTTCTTGAGAGCGTCATGAAAACGGCCCGTAGAAGAGGCGCCAGAACCAGGCTGCGCCGCAGGGTCGATACGTACCGCGGCGCAGTATACCCTTTCAGTGATAACGTCGATGGCTAATCACCACACCAACGGCGCTTGGTAAGAGCCCCAACTGGACGCTCGAGACGCAGACAAGTATGCAACTGCTGCGTCAAAGATCGCTACAGGCTCCTTTGATCACAACGCTGACCTCCAGTTAGGACCACTGACTGGAGACACTGCCACCCGTCCCAAACCAAAAGCCTGTCACCCTGCGGGTCGGTACTCACATTGAGCTGCAGCAGAATCTTCTCGTAAGCCCAGAACCAGCGCTCGCGGGCCGTTAGCGGCTTCTTGGCCTCGCGCGGCTCCTGCTCGTCCTCGAACGAGACCTTCTTGTCAGCCTCGGCGAGGCGCAGCTCGGTGCGGCTGGTGGCCGCCTCCTCGCCGCCCTGCTGGTACGCTGGGTGCGGCTCGATGACGTTCTCGCGCGGCGGCGAGACGGGCGTCGTCACCTTGCTGCGCCGGCCGGGCGCGTCCGGCTCAAAGTTGCCCAGGATCAGCTTGTCCTGGTCGATCTCGGCCTTGACCAGCGTCGGCGAGCTCAGCGAGCCACGCGTCGGCGAGGTGCCGCTGGGGCTCGGCGACTTGGTGGTGGGCGAGTAGGACACTTCGGTGGCGCTGAGCTCGTCGCGCGAGCTGCTCGTGTGCTCGGCCGGCTCCTCGTACAGCGGGCTGGCGCGGTCCAGGCTGGGGCGGGCGCCCAGCGTCAGCCGCTGCTCATGGAAGCTGTCGTGCCGCATCAGCCCGCTGCCGTCGGGCGCCGCCTTCACACCGCGGCCGTCCAGCAGTGCCCGGTCTTGCTCCAGGTCGCTGGACGTGTAGAACTCGTCGCGCCGCATGTATGGGTCGTTGCCGCGGTAGCGGTCGATCGAGGCCAGGATCGCCGCGTCATCGGACGGCATGGGGAGCGGCGTGGCCGCCGCCGCCGCCGCCGCTGTCGCCGGTGCCGGCGGCGGCGGCGGCGGCGACGGCGGCGGCGAGACCGTCATTTCGCCGTCGCCGTAGCTGGCGTGCTTGGTCAGCTGGCGGTGCGGCGTCGGCGCGGCCGCCGCCGCCGGCGCCGCCGGCGCCGAAACCTTGGCCAGATTCGGCGTCGACTGCGCCGGTGTCTTGGCCAGCCGTGTGTCGGCACCGAGGCCGCGGAACAAGCCCGCGAACATCGAGCCCACCTCCTTCGTCTTGGTGCCGACCTTGTTCCCCAGCGCGGTGAGCTGCTCGCCGCCCTGCGCGGACTGCGTCGAACCGGGGCGCGAGGAGGCACTGCCGGCGCCGCGAACCGTCTGTCCCACCGACTGACCGATCTGGCCCAGCGACGAGGTCAGCTTGGTCAGGCCCAGGTTCCCCAGGCCGAAGTCTGGCTTCTTTTGGCCGGTCGGCAGCCGGCCGTCCCCGGCCGACAGAGGCACTCGCGGTACACTCGCGGGAGGCGCCGCCGCGCCCGAACTCGTTCTCGCGACGCTCGCGGCGTCCTTCTCCGTCTGGTTCAGCTGCTCGGAGCTGTCGTACGCGTAGTTGTAGTTCTCGTTGTAGGTACCGTCGTCGTAGTAGTACCACTCGCCGCTGTCCTCGTCGTAGTAGCTCCAGGCCGTGCCGTCAAAATAGTCGCCCGTCTCCTCGTCGTAGTATTCGGCCGCCTGGTCGTAATCGTCCGCGTCGTATTCGCCGTACCCGGGCTGCACCCCACCGTACCCGGTCTGCGCCTCACTGTGGCCGGTCTGCGCCTCACTGTAGCCGGCCTGCACCCCACTGTTCCCGGCCTGCACCTCACTGTAGCCGGTCTGGGCGCCGCTACGCGCGGTCTGCGGTTCACTGCAGCCGGCGCCAACACCGCTCGGCTGCTGCCGCTCAGCGCCGCCGGCGGTCGCCGCCGCGCCACTGGGGCCGTTCGGAAGACTGCTGCCCGCCGCTGCCGACGAGAACGTGACACCGTCGCCGGTCGCCTCGACGCCGTCGTCGCCGGCCGCCGGGTACGCTTCCGGATCGTACGCGTATTCAGCCGCGTCGTAGTCGCCGTAGTACTCCGCCGAGTCGTGCTGCGCCTGCTGGCCGTCGTCCTCGGCGTACTCGTAGTACGGCTGGCCGTTCCTGCGCGCCGGGGACATGACCCGATCAGCGGGGAGGGGAAGGGCACTGCGGTCGGTGTCGCCTCTGGGGCGCGGCGCGCTGTAGGTCACATACCTAACTGTTGGCGGCACGGAACTACAACACTGCCACCCTCCTCTGGGGTGCTCCTGCGGCGTCGGGCGCCCCTGCACGAGTAATAACAACATGATCTTGCTCAGTGTTAACAAACGGGATGAAGAAAGTTACATGTGATCCGTCCACGCCAACATCAGCGTTTTCTGCCTGCACCACGCCAAATGTTCTGTTACTCACTTGCGGTCAGTGCGCCAAGACATAAGCCGTGCATTCTCAGGAACAAGCAGTTATTGTTGTGGCTGATTGTCGCTATAGACCCGTTGTCAACCATATCGTCAATACGGGGTAATGTCGTTGTTTAGTGGCATTGATCTCTTGGACTGTGGATGGCCTAAACCACGCAGTTTTACTGCGGAACACGGATACTGCCCTCCCACTCAAGATGTACCAGTGCAGCGGCTATAGTTCAGGGGGGGGGGGGGGGCTGGTGATTGGCTAGCTTCCGGGAGATTCTGCGTTGATATCGAGCTGAGAGGGAGGACCCCGCCCTAGCAACTATATCCCAACTTTGAGGAACCGCTAATGGACTCTATCAGCGCGACATAATTAAATATAACGGTGGGTAGCGAGAAACGCAGGAAAACATTGATATTTCCAGGCGTACGACATCGTATCAGTTATCCTGAGTTATGATGTGGGCACATTGATACGCATCACAAACGGGGAATGAAGTTACATTCCAAGCATGGTTGGCTCCACAACTTGGTACTGCATTGCTTACCATTGAAACCTTAAAGTTCTTCGATTGCATACCTTGCCTATGACTGGCCAAAACGAATTCAGCAACACGTGCGTTTGTACTAGGGTTGAAGCGACGGCAGCTGCATAGACGTTTACAAGCTGAGCCAAAGCCGCCATTCTCTTCTATAACTTAGGACAACGCGTTGAGTGTAGTATGACTCGCTTTTGACAAATATTGGCATTGAATGGTAGTAATCATTCGGTGGTTGATTCCTTGTTTATGACTCACTCGTCCACGTAGTATTCTTGGTATGCTGGGTCGTATTCGTACTCGGCCTCTTCTTCACCTTTCGTCTCCCTGCGAATCATCACCACTGGTGTTATCGGCAGAACCAAAGTCACCAGGAGACCGGTCATCAGTCACATCAGAGTCACTGTCAGAACCAAGACCGCTCGACACACACTCACACACACACACACACACACACACACACACACACACACACACACACACACACACACACACACACACACACACACACACACACACACACACACACACACACACACACGCACACACACACACACACACACACACACACACACACACACACACACACACACACACACACACACACACACACCACACACACACACACACCCTGCAGTTGCCAGATCAGTCTGCCGCCACCGGTGTTTCATGGCACCAAAGTAATTAGCTTCACGGACCAGTACCAATGTCAGCACATCGACTCCGGCATTACTTTGAAACGGCACTAGCTTTGTTCAGTCATCCACACAATATCAAGACCAATTACCCTCAACACACGACTACCGCCATCGAGCTCCAGTGCCTGCAACGGAATGCAAACTGCATAGTGTCACGTCATCCTAACCCATGGCAGTAGCGCGGTACGAATCAAATGAGAGTCTTCCATATGCATGCAGCTATTTCGCAGACAAAAGGATCCAACCAGTAAACCAGTACGGGGCAGGACGCCGGAAAATAATCAGTAAAGGCAGCCATGAGTCTCCTCGAACGGAAGCCATGTCAGACCCACTGGATGAGTGAACTCCGTCAGCCCCATTCCACCGCGGACACGGTCAGCCAGCTCCAGTCATCGGCAGAGATCTCAGAGACCACCGGAAACGACGCCGCGAGGGAGAGCGGCGCGGCGCGTCGGCAGACAGCACCAGGGTGCGGTGAGTGGACCCGGGACACCGGCTGTGGAGTCGGTCGAGCGCAGTCGCAGGGGCCGCTCCAGAGCCGGCGCACCGCCCTTCGACACTGACAGGCAAGGTCGGCGCGGCCGCAGGTGGGCCAGCGGGCTCTGACGAGCAGGCTGTCGAACACTTGTGAGCCGCCCGTCATTGTGTGACGGCGCGCCGCTGTGAGGCCCCTCCCCCGACACGCCCGCTCCGTGACCTTGGGATGTGAGTCATCCGGAGTGGAGGGGGGGGGGGGGGGGGGGGGCGGGGAGGGTTGCTGTACGACAAGGGAAGGTTTCGGAGGACAGGAGACGGTCCAGACATTCTAGTAAGGAAAACACAGTGTGGCGATCGTCTACGGTGGCTGGATATTGGCATGCTCTTCTACAACTGTGGCAACTAAATGACCAATTGGAAACCCGGAGTGGTGCGCATAATAAGAGCACGAAGATTTTAGTGCGTCCAGTCACCTGGTGACAGTGCGTCCAGCAGTGCTGTAAGTGACCACGTCAAATGCGATAGTGTGATTAAAAAGGCAAACACGCCGTTCAGAATGCAACGCATAAACACTCCTTTTCTTGTGCTTGACAGAGCAACCACGAGTCAACCGGTTAGCCTACACCATCTTCAAAACATAACTGAAGCAAAGGGGGCGTGGTTATGCTCATCCGCCATATCACATAGAAGTGGGCCAACGTGTTCATGCAATGTTTGAAACCACGATGACTCGAACATCTCTGCAACGCACTGTGACTCGCAAGCATCACACATGGTTCGCGCCCAAATGCGATGGTCTGATTTGAAGCCGCGTGCGGTAGAAGCTGACCTCCCAGCCCGGCATGGTTCGGAACATCTGGAATGTACAAAGAGATAGACCGCTGGTGGGTACCCGTGGAGTGCCCCTGGTGGGTGCCGGTGAAGAGCCGCTGGTGGGTGCCGGTGGAGAGCCGCGGCTGGGGCTCGGATGGGCAGAACCGTCTGTGGCGTTGCGTCGCCGTCGGTGCCCGACGGCCGTCCATCAAACGTGGCCGATCGATTTTGTACAGGTGCTGCCGCTCAAGGTCGTGCTCTTGAGGCCCGGACACCGCTCAGGTGGCACCCCTCCCCTCCCCTGCCCCCGCCATCACCCGGCGCGCCAACACACGAGCGCAGTTATGTTTGACGTCAGTGGGCTAGCCCGCTGCAAAGTAGCATCTCTATGGCCCATATTAGAACACCGCATTGCTCTTTAGGTGAATGTTGGCGTGCGACAAATGGGATTCCATGGATTGAAACATGAATTAGATTAAAGGCACGTCCAGGAGGGATGCCATGAGGATGCAATGATGTCAAGGCTATGAAGTGCTTGCGATTCGCTGCGTGCTGTGGCACACTACGGCACGCTGCAAACTTAATGCAGTTACAAATTCAAACACATCCTCAATGCATTAAGCGCTTTGCCATGGGCAAATCGGCCATTCTGGGTCCCCGCCCTAAGTCACCTGTCCTGGGTGACCTGCCCTTGGTAACCTGTCGCCAGTCGCTGTTGTTGAGCAGGCTGTCCAGTGTAGTCTGTCACGAACCACTCGTTCTGAGTCAGCCACCCTGAACAGCCTGCCTTAGTAACCTGTCTTGAGCCACTTCTAATCAGCCGATTGTTCCGAGCCACCTTTTCCCCAGCGACCTGCCCTAGGTGACCTGTGATGGGCTACGCATCCTGAGCACTTTGTCATGCGTCTCTTGTCTTGAATCAGTGTGTGGTCTGTGTCGGTGTGAAAACCTTAGTGGTCTGTGTCGCCTGATGTTTGGAGCTCCCTTTTTAAAGTCCTGTATT